TTATTGTTGTTGTTGTTGTTGTTGTTGTTTTTATTTATATTATTGTATGTAGGTACTTATTCCTGAGGATAGAGATGATTTCATTAATATTTGGGATATTAATAAATTAGATGAGATATTGATCACTTTGTCCTTCCCTTCTCTGTCAATGCCTAAACTCACTCTTAGCAATGGACAATACATGGCAGTGAACAGTGATAATAGTAATGATGTACTGGTGAGTGACCATTATACCCGATACATATTGATGTACTTATGCTGTGTAGAAAGTTTGAGCTGATTCCAACTTCAATTTTTAGAGTTACGGCCATTTTAAGAAAATGCCAAAATTCTGAAAAATACCCAAGGCTATAGCCGATGGTTTTTTTTAAATGGCTTCAAAATCACCTCAAATTTTTATTAGATTTTTTGATGCATATTGATGTCCTTATGCTGTGTAGGAAGTTTGAGCTGATTCTGACTTCAATTTTTAAAATTATAATCAAATTAATCTAATATATTCATTTATTGTGTAGGTGTGGTGTTTAACTGATTTAATGAAGACCAAGTCACCTGATCCTCATGTGACTATACACAGACAATCAACTGGTCCTCTAGTCTGGTTCAATACCGACACACTGATGACTGCCGCTTCTACAGGATTCATACCCATGCTTCCAGGCTGGGTACCAGGATTCAGAAGAATGAATTACCAATCACTGACCGGCGAGATTGAGCTATGGAATGTTGGGAAGCATTATAAAGACTCCAAGAAACCAACCAGCAATGTAAGTAATACCCTTTAACATAATGTAACACCCTGTGACATAATGTAACACCCTTTAACATAATGTAACACCCTTTAACATAATGTAACACCCTGTGACATAATGTAACACCCTTTAACATAATGTAACACCCTTTAACATAATGTAACACCCTGTGACATAATGTAACACCCTTTAACATAATGTAACACCCTTTAACATAATGTAACACCCTGTGACATAATGTAACACCCTTTAACATAATGTAACACCCTTTAACATAATGTAACACCCTGTGACATAATGTAATAGCCTGTGACATGTACATGATTATTATTATAATCTATATAAATGTACATGTGCATGAAGCTAGAAAGGAATCAAATTCTAATGTGACATTAATTTAACTGTTAATTAAAAATAACCAGGATGATGATACACATTTAGCCCAGTTTTCATTCCTATAAAACCTTACCACGTTTTCTTATCACTTGACATAATTAAATATTAAATATTAAGATGTACAATTTGCTAATACATTAATTGACTGTTAAAATACATACAGCATACTGCCTCAACCACAGAATGTTATTGTATACTGTCTCCTTTTCTGTTAGTTTTCTCTATACATATGTAACCCTCTCTCTCTCTCCCCCTCCTCCTCCTACAGGTGTATAAAGTGTCTCATATGTACATGCCCAATAGTTCAATGAAGCTCTCCTCATCAGTGGCTGGTCCAGTGACTCAGTTAGTGTTAATGAATGGACGTATACTGACAACCAGTGGAACTACACTATCAGTAGTTGATGCTAGCAATGGAGACACTGTAGAGTCATTCACTGACCATAAAGACACCATCACTGATATATATGCTGTGAGTACATGTACATTAGTTATATACCTGTAACCAATAAGGTTAAGTAGTTGCTCTTCTCTTCTTCTTAGGATAGTTATCGTGTATTAACATGTTCCAAGGATTACTCCATCAGAGTGTACAGGTGGTCCAATAATACACTGCTCAGTTTATATCAGCTACTGGGAGGATCAATAGCACACAAGACACAGTAAAATGCACCTATACACACACTAAAACTACTATTACATGTAAATATATAGGCCTGAGGATTTTATTAGGATTCACCCCCAAACAAAATGGCTGCAACGACTTTTGCAGCCTTGCTTTTTTATAATACTTGGGAATAATAATAGGAATAATAGGCAAATATATTGGGAATAAGGGAATAGAATAATGGGGACATTTTTGGGAATAATATCCTCAGCCCTATAAATGTATGTACTATGGGCCTCAGATACTGTGTAGTGTTTGTCAGCACTGCTAATATTGAAATGTACACAAAGAGAAGAGAGGGGCTTTCCCTGGGACAGTCTCTCTAACCTGCTCCTGTTACAATGTATGTACACATACTGTCATGTGCCTTGTGTACACAGACATCATGTCTTGCTTTCCTTGTAGTAATATTCAATTTATATCCTCTCTCTCCCTCCCTTTCTCTCTCTCTCTCTCTCCCCCTCCAGTGATGGATTCCATAAGGTGTTGTGTTCCTCTGGTACTTGCATTGGTGTAGCTGGTAATATCATTAAATTGTACAATTTCAATGAAAACATTAAGAGTTCATAACTTGGGCATGTTCGTGAGTGAGAGTGACTTTTGCTATAAAAACAAAAAAAAATTTATAATAATTATGATTAATTATATTTTTATAATAAAATAAACAATGTAATTTTAACAACAATAGTAAAAGACCAATCATTATAAATGATGACATACACGTGTACAATCACAACATTTTTATAGTTGCTAATTTGCTATAGGCATCAATAACATAATCTTGGGAAAGAGAATTAATACAAGTACATGTACTACACAGTTATACCCATACAGTGTACAGTGTACCCATATTATGTATAGTATATGTCTTACATTAGTTGGTGTAGCCAGTGATTGCAGCAGTGGACTGGTGAGTGGTTTAGTTAATCCTCCAGTTGAAGTCGTCTTGAAAGTAGCAGATAATGTCAACTGAGGCTTGTTCAGCATCTACAATAATGTAAATGACACCAATAATATGTACATACATGTACATATATGTACATGTATGTTATACAACAACTATTCAGGCGTTCATGCTAAACAGTAGCAACAGTCCAAAATAAGAAGCATTTAAACAGGTTTATAAAGTACATGTACATGTAAATTCCCGGACCACTTATTAAGACCACCAAGGGGAATTTGGTAAGCAATCTAATTGGTCAATTACAACTATAGGTGTGGTTTGATTCTCTCACTTCTTTCTTTTTGTGTTTCAGTTTATAATTTTGAGCCGTCAAACAATATCGCTCTGGGGGAAGACGTGGCCCGAACTTCTCCAGAATAACTGGGAGTGGCGTCGCATTCTTCTGACAAGCAACTTCAATTAAAAATTAAAAATAAACAATTAAATACAGCTAAGTCCATTATTATCGTACCTCTCTAGGGGGCGGGGCAGTGAAGGAGTGGTCTAGTCTGTTCTGTATTGCTAGTCTAACGTCACTCTCATCAATCTCAGTCTTGTTAGCGTATTCGGAATATAACTTGGCATCTTCCAATACATTAACAATGTATCCTAAAATAAATACAAAAATATCAACATTAATTCCTTATTGTTGCTGTATAAGGCAATTTAATGTATAATTCTTATGTTTCTATGAATCATACACTAGGCAAGTTACTACTACAGTGTGTCTAGCCACATGTTGTGGTTACACGAACAGGGCTGTTACTCTGAACACCATCTGTTACTCTGTTATAGCTAGCACATTTCCATTTATGGTTTGCTCATGTGATTTGTAGTATCAACTTTTGTAGTAAACAAAAGTTGATAAGGCTCACATGACACGTGGTAGAATTAACATAATTAAAATCTGTGAATTAGAAATGTACTATAGCAAAATAATAAAGGCAGGAATTTAAAATTCCAATCACAAAAGTCACCATGTATATTCATTAAAATGTACTAACTAATTTTATTAATTAGTCAATTAAGCCAAGTAGTACATTGACTATATATGGTAGTGTCTGCTAGCATGCTGAAGGCACGTGGCAGCACGTGGTGATTAACTGCAGCCGAAGGAAAAGATTGGCATACTGTATTTTTTGAAATTTTAAAATAATATGAACCTGATCAAAAAACCAAAAAGTGTTTAACTGTGCTTTTACATGTGTGTGTATAAGAGAGAAATAACGAATTATATACAAATTATTAGAGTCAATGTAACAAGAAAGTCAATGTAACAAGAAGAAGCAGAAAAAACAAATTGATCCATGGGTCAAAATATTCTTGTGGCCATTCTGACAGCATGAAATACACAACAGGAAGATGTTCAATATATTCAGATGCTTCAATATGAAGCTGGAGGGAAGATTGTACCGGTTTGAAGATCTGTAGTTGAGTAAAAGGAATGACTAGAGGTTAGGAAATACTAACTTTAACAAAAAAAAGCAACACTAATATCACCACCACCAACAAACAGAAGAAAGGAGCCACCATAGAAGGAGCCATCATACAAGGCTTGTCTTGTATCCCACCGGAGCCGGAACATGTAGTATATAAATGTAAAAAATGACGTGGGCTGCCCTGATTGGTTACCGGTTACGTGACAATTTATTGACATATTTTTGGAACAGCCTTCATAACTTAATTATAAATGGCTCAATATGTCAGATACAATTACAGAAGTATGCATACCAGTATATTATTTAGAAAAACTTATAGTAGTTATGTATACTGTATAAACATTAAATACAATTTTTTTGCAAACTGGCTATTTTAAAGATTTTACCAGCATATCAAATTACTACAAATTAGCTCAAGTGCTAAGCAGTAAATTTGTATTAAAACTAGGTGTATTACAAAAATTTTGTGAAAATAAGTAGCAGGTAAATTCAAATTATTTTTATAATAATAAATAATAATAATGATGATGATGATGATTAATAATCATATTTCAGAAGGCTCAGTCTCACATATCAACTGTGTTTGGCCAGTTTTCTTGACTAACTTACAGCTAATTTGTAGTTAAATAACTAATTTTAATAACTTTTGGTCCGCCCATCCGCCCACTTGCCACACTATATAAGCCCCTGCTTCAGCCATCTTCCTTGGCCTTTTTCTTACCTCTCTTACAGAAGCACGTGCAAATATGTCTCTAAAAGACATCTTGGACAAAGTTAAAGGTTTAGACAGCAGACTTTCTGACTTAACAACAGATGTTAAAGACTTGAAAAAGAAGGATCAAGCTCAACTTGAGTTGAAGAAGGTTGAAAATCGCTGTAGCCGTTCTAGAAGTCCCCATTCCAGATCTAAGGAGTGAGCAGGACAACATTCTGTGGAGCAATGCTCCCGTGCCAACAGAACTGAATCATACTTGTCGGAGGACGAGGAAGATTTCGAGCAACTTATGGAGGTCTCAGAGGAGACTCGCCATCCTCTCACTGACTCTTGCAAGCGGGTAGATTAGCAAGCGGGGTGTGTCAAGTGAGACTAGGAAGTGTACCAGAAGTCATTTCAAGCCTCCTAAAGTGGATGCAGCCAGATCCCCGAGATTGGACTCAGTAATGAAAACTGTTGCTCCTCAGTCTGCACAGAGTGCAGATAAAGAACTAGCCACAGACTTTCCACAGACTTTACTCCAGACTTTCATCTTGGATGCTCTGGCTCCCCTCACTGCATGCCATCCTAGAAGGTACTAACGAGATGACAGTACAAGATATAAGAGAGGCACTAATCACAGCCTCAATTCTGATTGGCAATGCTAATGCCAAATTAACACGTCTCCGGAGAGAGAAACTGATATCAGCAATTAATGATTATCTGACTCCTCTGATACAAGACGAGTCACAGTTTACAGATTCAAACCCATATTTATTTGGGTCAGACTTTGCAAAACAAGCAAAGGAATAATTGGACCAGGCTGGAGCGCTAAAGTCCACTACTCCTGAAGTAGAACACAACAGGAGATCTCTTTTTGTGAAGGCCTCCCTTGGAGAGGGGATCGGCCAGAGAAAGGGATGGAAGGCCCAACACTTGAAAACACCACCTCCAGAAGACATTCAACAAAAAGAAGCTGAGGAGCATATAAACCTGCAGGATGAAATAGGATTATATTACCATAAAGCTGAAAAGAGCTAATGACACTATTTATAGCCTTGAATATATACAAGAGGGAGAGATCAAATTTATTATTATTCAAGCTAAAATAAATGATCTTGAGGAAAAGTTACATCAAAAAATACATCGCGGGTAGTCGTAGCTGCACAATGGTCCCACAACGAAGAGCAAGAATAGACCTCACAAGATTTCAAAACTGAATCGCAACACGAAATTACACATTATACCTTATGGGCAAATGGAAAATGCGAGTTTAAAAATATTGTCCAAACATCCAAAGAAGTTAGTGGAAGAGTTGAAGGGATATTCGAGCATGGAACTTATGCAACAGATGCTGCCTATACCAAAAAGAAAATAAAATATGCAGACGAGATTGAAGAGTTAAAAAACAATTAAAAGAGGAAGAGGACAACTTAAAAAAATTAGAAAGGAATATGAAGGAAATCAAAGATATCAGATAGAAGATTACATGTATGAAATGCCTCAACAATTGTTTCAAAATTTTAATGTTATGAGGTGCAACAGTGCTATAAAATGTCTCTCAGAGCTAATAAGAATGGATGAAGCTGTACAAAGGCTAAAAGAGGTGGAAGAAACATCTTATTATTTCTATAGACAATAAGTATAATGCATGATGCATCCTGCAGTAGTTTAGTTTAACTTTACAAACTTTTAGTATCAAAATTAATTTCAGTTTAATAAGTCTTATTTGTGTGATGCTAACACTATTAAATAACTTCAAATATTTTAAGTTTAAAACTGTACTATTAATAGAATATGTTGAATATGTTGTGCATGTCTGCAATTATACGTGTAGCTGTCCTTTCATTTTTATTGAGCATTTTAGTCTTAGATCTCTGCTGAGCCACTTGTGGTTCATAGGAGCCTCTAGATCTTTTCTCCCACCTCCAGTTGGTGTGCCTGTTGAATCAGCACTTGCTCCTGCTCTACCAAGTCTCTCATCATCGGGATTTTGTTGCTGTAGCAGCTCTTCCTGGACTTCGCTTATACACATGAAGCACAAAGGGCGTGGTCTGGTTATTTAAATGACACACCTCTTAGCACGATTAATTCATTCCCATTCTTTGTTCCTAGTCTGCAACTCCAGTCTTCTGAACATCAAAGGAAGCACTAATTGAAGCCTCTATGCGGTGATATCACTAGCACTATAGGGTAGTTCGACACTCTCTCTAAATATAATGGACTCTTGTTATTATACAATTTGCAAGAAAGAACTATAAAATTATTAGATCAGGTCATACTTCATACATGTACATGTAATTTGCAAAAAATAAAGCTAAAATTTTAACTGCCCATTCTAATTTTAGCATTTTTATATTAAATTTATCTAAATCAGCATTTTTACGACCTGGGGGGCAAACCCCCAGGTCGTTCCTATATTTGATTTATCCATCACGCTATCTATATATTATATAGGCGGTAGCCTATAAGTAGGATTGAGGTTGGTTTTTCAAGATGACGGCCGTTTTTATGATTTTAAAACACTTATAACTCTTTTATATTACATTTTACAGCCTTATAAATGGCTTAGATGAGCTCTCCTTCACTGAGCGATTCTCCTGGTACCTTTAAAGTGGACTGTAATGTAGCGGGAGCAATTCTGGAGAATAGGCTCAAATTCAAATTTCTGCAAAATTCTTCAGACCTTTTCTTCTTTCATCCTCTTCTATGCACCCGTTAATCTTCTAAGTCAGAGAAGCGCTCGAGTTGGCTTTTACATCACTCCTCTAGGCTTGGGTCAAGGACCACAAAGGTAGTTTCAAAAAGAAGTGAGGACAGAGAAGAAATGGCAGACAAAATCCAGCTGCAGATTTATTAATTTAAGAAAAAGAATGGAAACAAGTAAATAAAAAACATTAAAAATGGAAAAGTAGTAGGATTGAATTGGAAAAAAGTAAAGAAAGAAGAGGGTACTTGCAAACTGGTGTGGTAAAAAATCCTACACCACTGCATGAAGAATATAATCCAAAGCATTGCAATTATTCCACACAGACTGGCTGCTATGATAACACTTTGAAGACTTTATCTTTATGCAGTGGTGTAGGATTTCTTACCACACCAGTTTGCAAGTACCCTCTTGTTTCCTTACTTTTTTCCAATTCAATCCTACTACTTTTCTATTTTTAATGTTTTTTATTTATATATATTTGTATGTCCACACTTACATTTCTTCTATACATGTTGTATTGGAGAAATAACAAGCCTTAGCAACCACCCGCCCACACTCCTTTACATAAGTGGGTGTGACCACGAAAAACAAAATGACGGCTTACACATGAGACAAAGTTAAGAGCTTTCTAACAGCAAGAGAACATAGAGATACTGTCTAAAGACTTCTCTAGAAGCATTAGAAGGTAGAGAGAACCTCTATAAGTCTTAATAAGCTTCCAGCTATGCATGCAAGGTGGTGAAAACAATTTCAGGAATATTTTTACACTGTTACGCTTGTCACAAATTTTTAGAAAATACAGTACATGTACATTGTACTGTACCTTTTCCTGTGGTGGTGTCAGTAATGGTAGCAGTACAGATACTATCTTCATTCTAGCTATTTCCAGTCTCATCTCATCAGAACCATGAGTCAATACTGAGAGCAGTTGAAGGGCTATATACAGGATATCAGCATCAGTAGTGCAACGAATGAGACCAACGAGTGAATGGAGGAGACCTGACTGGAGTATGTCTGTGATTCTTCCTTTATTGTGATCACTAATGGGGAAAGAGAATATTCATAACTTAGAATGAAATTTAAATGAAATTAAGATACTAATATGTTCATAAATAGGGAATGAATATCCAAAAGATATAAATTCTTGGGTTTTAGGGATTTGACCAATGATAGGTGTTTTGAAGACCATATCTGAAAACTGATAACTTTCAGTGATGAGCTCTTGCTAGAGACATAGCTGCAATTTCTTTCATGCAAATAGACTTAAAATTTTGTACTATTCACCGTTTTCACAATTTTAGATTATTATTTTTTTACAATTTTCACTTAAACTTGGTAATTTTTAGCTCAAAAAGAGTGACAATTCTCACCTAAAATTTTGTATTTTCCCCTCAAAGTGGGCGAGAATTTTTGCTAGCCACACCCTTTCATACGATACAATTACCGACATAAATTAATGCCCAAATGCTCATAAATTAAAAATTATGGAAAAATTATGTTACACAGCCTAGAAAAGTGCTCATTACAATTATTTAATAGTTATTTACTGGATAAGTGATACTGTGGTGGCTTGAAGTGCTCCCTTGGTTTCCTCTCGACTAGATTTCAAGTTAGAGAGTACAGTGTAGAGATGTCTCTCCTCGGCCATTACAACGCACGTGGGAGGGTAAATAGAATCCGGAGATAATCAAGTAGTATCCTAAAAGCAGTTAAGCATAGTTATTAACAGCACGGTGTCTGTTGTGGTTTCTAACTAGGTGAATGTAAACATTGTGGGGGCGAGCATGAGCCATCAATTAACAACTGAAATAATAATTATGATTGAACTAAATAAAATCAATCCAGCTCTCAGCCTGCATGCATATTCAGACCCCGGCCTCACTGATGGCCGGGGTCTGAACAGAGCAAACACACCAGTCAACACAACCAAAATAACCCAATCAAAGTGACAAGAACGAGTCCTGTCACACTGAGAAAATGTACCAAGTTAAACTTCTAATCTAGCTTCCATCAATTACCATTTGAAATAAGATTGAACTAAATAAAATCAATCCAGCTCTTAGCCTGCATGCATATTCAGAATTTCAGACCCCATCCTCATGGCCCAGCAGGGTCTGAACAGAGCAAACACACCATTTAACACAACTGACCAAAATGACCCAGTAAAAGAGACAAGAATGAACTGTCCTGCCACTCTGAGAAATGCCAGTGCCAAGCTAAACTTCTAATCAAGCTGTTCTCCCAATTTTAATTCTTTCAATGAGAGGACTAATCTAAAGGAGTCTTAGATCAAGCTGCTTTAAGTTTTTCAGCCTTTCAGATGTTTTAGACAGCCCCTCTCTCTTATCTAGCTGTTAGAAACTCAATCTGAGTTTGTCACGTTAAAATTTCCGCCATCTTGTTCTTTTGACCACACCCTCTAAATTAATTTTGCCCACGTGGTCCAAATTTATCAATAGTAGTATACTAATTTAATTTTCGTATTTTTCCGTTCACAAACAAGACGTAACGCAAATAGACCTAGACAGATTAGTGTGGGTCTCGCTCATGCTCGCCCCAATAATAGATCTAAAGCCCTCCATACACCAGGCAACTTGTTGCTAGCAACATTTGTGGTTTCTTTGATCTTTTGAGCAACTTGTTGCAAAAATAGAACTGATTTCTATTTTTAGCAACATGTTGCTTATAATACAAGATCAAAATAACCACACTTGTTGCTAGCAACATGTTGCCTAGTGTATGGGGGCCTTAAAGGCCTTCATACACGAGGCAACTTGTTGCTAGCAACCAAGCAATATGTTGCCAAAAATAGAACATCTTTCTATTTCTGGCAACATGTTGCCTCGTGTATGAAGGCCTTAAGTCTTTTTAAATTTAATAAAGGAGGACCATGTTGTATTTAGTATATGAACTACATTTGTGTGAACAAATTTAGCGAATAGCAGCCTGGATTCACTGTACATGCATGATGAATATATTGTGGTATTCGATTGTCTTGCAAAATCTCAGGTGGCTACAAAGGTTAAATGTATACAACAAATGAAGTGAAAAGCACCTATATGAATAATTCAATACAAGTAGCTAAATATACAACCGGTAGCATCAAACTGCATGAAAAGAATTAATAATTAATAGCTAGATCTAATTGATAATGTTATACTAGAATAATCTAATATAGATCTATAGCGTGTGTGCATGCAATAAGTATGAGTTAGTTTAGTTTTAAATGGCGAGTCCAAAGATAGTAGCAGCAATAAACACTATAGCAGCAAAAGGAGAATTCAACTCATTAGCAGCACTGGTAGGAGTACTAGTGCTGGTAGGATTTATAACATTAGTGGCACCAGTGGAGTGAGTAGGAGTACTACTAATGATACTAGCGCTAGAACCGCAAGGAGAATCAAAAGTCACCCCACAGTTCTGAAGATGAAAAGGATATGCACCTATAGCACAGCAACCTAGTCTTGAAGAGAAAGTAGAAAGGTCATTGTAACAAGATTGAGGCGTTGTACTATTGCAGACCACATCACCACCGGTATTTGATTCTATGGGATCTGGACAAGTATTATGAGGATTGTTAGAATCAATGTCAATCAAACGATTTGCTTTAACAGGACAGTATTCTCCATTGTCCACTCCACAAGTACCATTCAGTAATAAACGAATAGCCATTTTAGTACCAGCTTCGGGAAGATTGAGGCACGAATAGTACTGTAGAATAAGATTAATGCAGGCAGGAACACAACTTTGAGCATAAGCTGCATTCATTGCTGCTCGTTCACTAGATGAGATGATTGGGATTCCTCCAGTCAAGAGAGAGCGATTACATATGTTTGGGAGACTGTTAATCAACTGGGTATTGCAATTTTGGCCTGGTTGTCTCTGTTTCATACGAATAGCATTTTGCAAAATCCCTGCACTGCATACTGAAGCTACAAAAAAGAAGAAGAGGGCGTACTTCATGAGGACTGCAGCAGCATACATTCCTGTAGATAGCTATAGTGTGAACAAACTGTGACCCTCTATATATTTAATCTATTCTAGCATAGATACTTAATTTTTAGGAAGTGTCTAGAGCTCCGGTAACCGGACACAGTATGCAGTGCTAGAGCTCCGGTAATAGGGGCTTCGCCCCTATATATATACTGGGGCTACGCCCCAGCATTAATAATACACTGATTTATATTATAGAAACCGAGTATAAATACAACAACCAGCGTTGATGATGCAGCAGGGTCGTGGTGGTGCAGTGGAGAGGCTGGTATGGATTGCACGGATAGGGTCAGGGTTCGAATCCGGTCAGGACTACCGAGTAAAACTATGCTGCAGTTTTTGA